CCCTGTGCTGGAAGGTTTTTTCAGGGAGCTGCTCTCTTCCATGTAGGAGCAGGAGGCTGTGAGGAAGCAGATCCCAGCCTCCATCCCAAAAAAAAAGCAGATTCCATCACCCCAGTTAGCAAGTGTGCCCCAAAGCCGGGAATTCAATCATCTGGGGCTGTGACACCAGGACCTCCAGGAATTTGGAAGGATGGGGTTGTTTAGTCCTAAAAACCACAATGACACCAGTGCAGGCTCTGAGTGCGTAAGAGGTGTTTATTTCAGGGATAATCCCACTTCCTTCCAGATGGATCCCATCAGCCCCACTTTTTTTCCCTCTCCCACCCCAGCAGGGCCCATCACTGTTTTTGGGCAGCTCCTGGAGCCATCCAGGCCTTTGTGCTGGGGCAGGACGGCTCCCAAAGGACAYGGATGGAGAGGCTGACCTTGCAGAGGGAGCTGATGTCCAAAAGGGAATGGGGTGACCCCACCCCATCCAAATCCCCCGCGAAGCAGAGCCGTGTTGGGCCACTGGTGGAACGGGAGCCCAGCTCCCACTTCTGGGGCAGCCAGGCCACGTGTCCCCAACTGCCACACCCTGCCAGGCCTCGGTGGCCACACCATGAGGCACTTGGGGGTTTAGAGGTGAGGAAGAGAAATGTTGGGGCAGCAAAATGTGGGATTTGGGATGGGGAAGGGAAATGTTGGGGCTGTGGTGTGCTGGAGGTGGATGCTGCCACTCTAACCCCTGTGCTGCTGGCCATGGTCTGTGTCGGACATTGGTGCTGGTCAGCACAAGGGAGGGGCCTTGGGATGGAGGTGCTGGGTTTGGGGGTGTTGATCATGGACACTGATGGAGATGAGGCTGTTCCTTGGGGTTTGGCAGCTTTGGGGGATCTCCAGCCCCTGGAGATCCCTCTCTGGAAACTCGAGATCAGTTCTGGAACATCCTTCAGACACACACAGGGGGCTCRGGGATGGAAAAAAGGCTTTTCCAGAGCTGCTTGAAATGGAGAAGCTCCAGCTTGCCCATCTGTCCAAAACTTGACACATTTCTGGTGCGAAAAGTGAAACAAGCTCTGCTGTCCCAGGCTTCCCCAGTGCATCCAGCCTGGGTCTGTCCTGGRTGCCATCCCCACTCCATCACAGCCRTGGGGATCCCACAGAGCATCCCAGCCAGAGCAAGGAGCTGCTGCCCAGGGAGGAGGGATGGGAACGAGAATCACT